ATGATATTGTTGTAAAAAGGTTAATAATAATTATTTTGATTAATATTTAAGTTATAATTGTTAGGAAATACACTAACAATTGATATTATGCATGTTTTTAATGAATGTTGAATTGATCGAAATCAAGCTCCCAAGTCGAGTAAGGCGAAAGGCAAGGGCCAAGTTTCGAAGTAATTATCTTCTCATTTTTTTTTATCTAAGCAAGACGAGACATGTGAGTGCCTTTAATTGTGAAACTATATGATGTATTAATCATATGTATAACTGTTAAAATATGTGTGGTGATTACCAATTTGGAACTAATTGTGTATTTCACGGAATTCATCCTATATGGATGAATAACCATTTTGGCACTAAGTGTGAATTTCACGGAATTCATCCTATGTGGATGAATAACAGTTTCAGCACTAAGTGTGTATTTCATGAAATTCATCATATCTGGATGAATAACAGTTTCAGAACTAAGTGTGCATTTTACGGAATTCATCCTATGTGGATGAATAACCGTTTTGGCACTAAGTGTGCATTTCACGGAATTCATTCTATGTGAATGAATAATCATTTCGGAACTAAGTGTGTATTTCACAGGATTCATCCTATGTGGATGAATAATCGTTTCAGCACTAAGTATGCATTTCACGAAATTTATCTTATGTAGATGAATAACTGTTTCGGCACTAAGTGTGCATTTCACGGAATTCATCCTATGTGGATGAATAACCGTTTCGGCACCATGAGTGCAAAACACGAAATTCATAATATATTTATGAATGGCCATATGGGCACTATATGTTCACTACAAAGAAATGATAATAAATAAAAATAATGAATTGATATTTCATTGATAAAAAATAATGATATGTATATATATGTTGATTTCATTGTATGATTAAGTATGCCTCACTAAGTAATACTTAACGTGTGTTTATTTCACGAGTAGGTTGAATACAGCTGAGTAAGAAGATCATTAGACATTCAGACAGAGTCGCCTCAGTAGTAACCGTATGACATACCTGTCTACTTTTGTTATATTTTAGTTGGTATGTAATACGGTTCAGTAAAAACGCATTAAACAATATTTAGATTAAACCGATGTAAAATGTTGAGGTGTTTGAACATCTCTTTTTGTTCATCTATTTAAGTTAATGTATGTTTTCTTTTAAGTGAATTAAAATGTTTTATAAAATGAAACAAAATTTTATGGGATTTTGAATTAGGAATAATAATATTAGTGATGTGACATATGTACCTCGTATACGTATGGGTATATGGGAGATGGGTGTTACAACCGTAGTCGGGTCAGATGACACCACTTGCTTATCAGATACCATTGCAATCGAGTCAGATGCTACCACAACTGGTTCAGATGTTATATGGGAGCTTGCTTTGACCATGTGCATGATGGCTTGGCAGATAATGTCAGAGTCCAAGTTGGGATGATCCTGGTTAATCCCTCCAACACAACATGTGTGAGGATTGTTGTATACTGTTAGTTTCTATATATTGTTTTTCATCTTTCTCTTTAATACACGAACCATTTAGTTGCTTCCGTTATCACGTTGGAAACAGTGGCAAACATACTTTTCAGTGATGAAATGATCAATTCTAGACTGAACAAAATTACGAATGTTGTAATTCTTATTTATCATCATCACTTATTCTTTGGATGAAAACTTCATTCTTTTATATAACTCACCATCATTGGCTGATGAGTTAAATTTGTAGTCACCAACATTAGGCATATCCGTAAATTTTAGCCCGTACATTGCACCATAGTCAGCTTCATACATGTATGTTGGAGGTTCGGTGTGTACCATATTTATGGGAATTTCATTTATATCATTGTCATTGGAGTACATGTTGAACTGCAATGATTCTGGCTGAACGAATAGTCTAGTCTCAGCACCATCCGCACCTGGCTCATGAAGAGGTTCTTCTGATAAAGATTAGGGTTCTTCCACGATGCCAACATTTAGGTCGATCAAGATGGTAGTTGAATGTCTTCCCCTTGAACTTGAAGACATCTCGATATTGAGTTTGAAGAAGCTCGCAGTTGAATGCCCCTGGAATTTGAAGGTATCGTGTCAAATGAGTACTGCACATATTGCTACATCGAGGGCATCTTCATATTCAGGTCAAAGAAATTGGAAAATGAATGTCTTCCCCTTAGACTGGAAGCGATGTTGCCATACAGATTGTTTGTGGAGCCACCTTGGTACAGATCGTAACAAGTTGCTGATGAATATCTATCCATTGAACTTGATGAGATGACACCATGATATCGATTTCCCATTAACGAGTTAAAATCATTACACATTACTTGAGTTGGATTGTCAACTTGGAGCCATCTCATAATGGGAGCATAATAACATACCACGAACCACAAACACTTAACAAATGTCACATACATTTGTGTATCGGTGTCTGAATATTGATTCTGATAATCAATCATCATAGCAACATCGTCATCGTTTGAGAGTTCAAACGTTGTAAAAGTTAATAGAAATATTGCAGTTGGAAATCTGTATTGAAGTGAAAACAGTCTTCTAGTACTTCCAACGTGAACCTTCTTTTAAATTTTATTGATCAACTTCTCAAGAGTGAAGTTTCTCTTGAAGGATATTCTGACAAAAATGATTTGATGCGAAGACAACGTCGATTTCATCTTCCCAAATTTCTTCATCATAGTAAACAATAGTTGAAATACGCGTCATTTTTAGAGTTTGAAAGATTGAGAGTCTTGTATACGCAAAAACAATAATTGAAATACGCCTAATTAAATAAATAATATATGAATTAAAATGCAAATTAATCCAATTTTTTTAAAATTTCACAATAATTTAAATAACACAATTTCATATTGTTACTATATCATCAAAATGTCTCGAGGTATGATCCCGCCTTCCAATTTTACAACCGCAAAAAATAATACAAAATAATTAGTACAATAAATTTTTTCAAATAATCAAATATAAAATATATATAATAAAAATGGTTTTACCTTATAAAAACAATAACAAAATCTACTTAGCTTGATAGAAGGAATTGATAGAAGTGAGAATAAGCAAATAATTTTGGTGTGGTTATGTTTGCATTCAGAGGAGTTGTTATTTATAGGGGAGGGGGATCGTTTAAAAGCCGATTTTTAAGGCTCCGGTAATAATGGAATACCCAATAATTCAACATGCATAATGGACATGATCCGCGCCTTCCATACGTGTCAGACGTTTAGCGAAGCGCAAATGACCATCCGCGCCTTTCCTTACGTGGCGCCAGCTCGGATTGAACCCCGCAAAGGCGTGGCTGATGATCCATGCTTTATTGCTACCGTGTTAGAAAGGGTGTTAGATCGGTAATATTAGAGGAGAGGGTGCCTAACAGGTAATTATTACGTATAAGGGTGATATTTCTGTAGAAACTCCTGAATTAACCATGCTATATTGTCATTATTCCTACATCATTAACACCATTTTCTTGTTAATAAAACAAACAAATAAAAAAATAAGTCAAATAAATTAATAGATTATATAATGTATGAGTAATTTTTACATAAATAAGGTAAAAAAAATCTATGTCAGTATTTATAAATAGAGTAGACCTGTTCCAGTGCAAATTACTCATCCAAATATAAAGTTTCATTAAAGTTTAGGAGAATTTGAATAAAAATATTAAGTTCACAAAATTAGACGCAAGTACGAAAATAGATTCATTAATATGAGCCAATTTATCTCAATGGTTTAAGGAATCATTGTTGTTCTTAGAGGTCATGGGTTCAAGTACCTATAATTGTAGCATGGTAATTGAGATTTCATTGTCAAATAATTAAGAATATTATTGTAAAAAAATTATTGATTTTCTTTGAAGTTTTAAGTTTAAGTATGGTTAATGCAAGAAGTATGAATGCTCATTGTTAAATTATCGAGAATTTTTTTAATAGATATTGTACTTATTTTAAATTAATAAAAATAAATAAATAAAATTTTCCGTGCCACTCCAAATTGACTCCTAACTGAATGAATTGAGTCTTTTATTACAAATTCTCTTTGCATTATTATGTAAACGGTCATTATTTGGACTTTTTCTCTTATCTTTGATATCAATTCTTAATTACTTTGTTTAGCTGTAATTAAGTTTAATTACATATAACATTTACATTTATGTTTTTTTTTCTTGAGTTAGTCATGACTTCATATAAAAAAAGAAAGTGATGGTTGCCTGAAAATTTTAAATTCAATATATTTTAATTTTTTATATTTTTGGATTTAGTAATATACGAAGCTCTCAGAAAATTTCTTAAAAAATCAATGTAACCCTGAAATTTTTTTGCAATCAATGTTATCAGTCATTACATAATATTATGTTAGCATAATAGATCGCCACATCAACTATGTAAACTGTCATATTAACATGATCATAATCAACATTTGATTTCGATGATTAAAGGGTCAAATTGAAGTTTTTTTGTGATTTAAGAGTTACATAGAGTGAAAAAAAAAATTCATGGGCCACATTGATTTATTTAAAAAAAATTAAGAGTACGATATACCATTAAACCTATATTTTATTTATCCCTAAAATTTTTAAAATTATATCTTAAAATATTATAAATTCGTTTTAAAACCTAAAATATTTTATTGGTCCCTATCCATACATACGTGTGATGCATCCATTGCATGTCAAATCAACTGGACGATGACATTGATTCTTCCATGGGAAAAGAGGTTGTACAAACAGCCCGCAAAAGATTTTGAGACAACTGAATGGTTGAAGGGTACGTGAAACATGTGTTACGTAATACTACAACTCTACGTAGAAAATGGTTACTCTTTTGTCTTTATCGCTCTCTCCGTGAGTGAAAATAAGGCGATCAAATGTCGTTGTAGGGTTAGATGAAAATAAATTGGGTCCCCATCCAGTTTCAGTGTCGGCAAATCATCGTCTTGTACTTCTCTCTTACTTTTATATTGGGGGGATGAGAGACAGACAGCCTCAGACTCCACTTCTTGCAAACCCCAAGGAAAATCATGCTTCTTTGGATCAAAAGAACGGACCAGTTTGTAAATTATATCGTTTTGTTTTCTCTATAGAGTGTATAAAGCAGCAAAATCGAAGGAAAAAGGATAGAGATTAAACATGGGTCACCATTCTTGCTGCAATCAACAGAAGGTTAAGAGAGGGCTTTGGTCCCCTGAGGAAGATGAAAAGCTCATTCGATACATCACCACTCATGGATACGGCTGTTGGAGTGAAGTCCCTGAGAAAGCTGGTATAATTTTCCCTTCACTTTTCAACATATAGTATTGAATTGTGGTTGTGGTCGCGGTAACCTTAAAAAACATTACGATATTGCCGTTATCTGGTGTTGCGGTTCCACTTTAATACTTTCTGCTTATTTCTTTTTCCTAGAGTTCCCATGTTCCTGGTATGATTTGATGAAGACCTGTCTTTTGCTTTTTCTTTTTCACAGGTCTTCAGAGATGTGGCAAAAGTTGTCGGTTGAGATGGATTAATTATTTGAGACCTGACATCAGAAGAGGGCGATTTACTCCTGAGGAAGAGAAGCTGATCATTAGCCTTCATGGTGTTGTAGGGAACAGGTTTGAAAATAATTCTGGGTTATTTCTACCGAGGTTGTAGGGATTTTATTTACCGTCTCATTTTCTGTTGTATTGTGTTTATCGTGACTGCAACAACAATGAGTGTTATTGTGAAATGCAATAGAATTGCCATTATTCCGATAACAAACCGCGGTTTAAATCCTCCGATATTATCCAGTGTCTAATATGTGTGAGGTGATTGTTGCAGATGGGCTCATATAGCAAGCCACTTGCCTGGAAGAACAGACAACGAGATAAAGAACTACTGGAATTCATGGATCAAGAAGAAGATACGAAAGTCATCAGCACCTCCAAAAACCACTGCTTATCCTCCTACTCATCATCCACAGATTAATTTTCCTTCAAACCAATTAGAGTTTGTAAATCAAAACTTGATGAGCACGGCAATCCCTAGTCATCGAGAAACCCTATTTTCTTCTCCACCCCCATTGTTCATATTCGACAGGAGAAACACACTTGATGGGATTCAAGTTCGTCAACATGGGGATAATTTAAACACCGAGAGCATTTGGAACTTGAATCAGCATCATCAAGTGCAAGCGTTGGCTCCTTCAACTAGTTCTTTCACAGGGGGTATGGATTCGAACACTTATTTGCCACCATTGATAGAGAACATGGAAGACGAAGGAGAAATGACGCTCGAGTGCTTGCAGAGGCAGCCGCTGGAGTTGAATGAATGGGTGGAATATTCCCAGCAAATTTCAAGCTTTCTCTTCTGGGATAACATCAACATACAAGGGGAAGAAGAAGCATTGCCATCAACTTCATCAAACATGGCAACTTCATTCCCCACATCATTATGAATTATTAAAAGGCTTTTCGAAAGAAGAAGAAAAAAAGGTTTCTTTTTCTTTTCTTTTCTGCTTTCTTTTTTTTCTTTTGTAACTTTATTTGGTGATGAGCTTGTGAAATGTGAGGGACTGTGACATACATAATCATGCATGATTTCCCCCTTCTTATTCTTCTTCTTCGTGAGAAAATTATCCACGAATACAAGACGCATATCTAAATCAATATGAGATCCAAAGCATGAAATATCATTATGATAACAAATAAACGTCATCTTGATCAATCACGACGATGTCAAATTCAACTCTGAAAAAAAATATAAATGAAAACAACGTAAAAAACGGTAAGCTATCAAAAGACATAGATAAATGTGCTATAAAGAAAGAGAAAAATATCACATAGACATAATTATTCTTATTAAAAATTAAAAAAAAAAACCGGCATACAACAACCAGCATCAAAACTGATGTCGTCGTCGGTTAAATAAAATTAAAGAAGAAAAAATTGGATTGATAAATAAAATTAACACAAATTATAAAGAAAAAAAAGAAGAGATACAAGAGGGAAAAAGCAGCAAGGGTTTTTTGACCTAGTAATTTTACATTTTTTTGGTTAATTTGGCATAATACATGTTAATTTGCTCTTATGTAATAAGAAAATATATATATTCAACATCGATACAAGCTGGAATTTTTTATGTATTATTTTATTTTTAAAATTTGTGATTTTTCCTTTTAATAATATTGCTTTTAGAATTTAAATGTATTAAAATTAAATTACTTATTAGTTTGAATGGAATATTATGGTCGAAAGCAGGGCTGGTTCTGACTTTTTTTTTGCCCGGGGCAAAATTTAAAAATGGGCCCTAATTTAAAGGAATATTAAAAAATATGCGATGTAAATTTTAATTAATTTTTTATTAAATTAAATAATTATTAATTCATTACAATATCAAAAATGTCAAAAACATATTTAAGCATATAAATACTTATAAAAAACATTGCCTTCGAGCATTTCTTGATGCAAAATCATTGACGATAGTGTCAACATCAATACTTTCCAACATATTTTTCTCAATATATAACATAACTAGCCCATTCAATCTTTCTTGTGACATTGTTGACCTCAAGTAACTCTTCAATAATTTCAGCTTCGAAAAACTTTTTTCAGGGGATGCTACCGTTATCGACATGTTAATAAGATTCGATAAGCAATTGAAACATGAGGATAACAATCTCTAGCTTTAACAAACTCAAGAACTTCAAGCGCTGACATGAATACATTTGGCAAAGTCAATTGCAACACTTTCATTTCAGGAAAAAAATCATCTTCATCAACATCCGTAAAATTATTATGAGAAAAAATAATCTTAAAATTATTACAAGATTCTTTTAATTTATTGTCATCCAATGACTTCAACCTTGTAGAATCAATTAAAAATCTAAAATAATTTTCAAAAATCTTTAACTGCTCAAATCAATCTTTCAAAGAAGCAACCCCCATATCAACATCAACAAAATAATTAACTTTAAAAGACTCCTCTGCTGATTGCATTTCTTCATCATGGTCATTCTCATCAAATTGTTTTTTTTTCTAAAAATACGACACTTAGTCGAGAAAATTGGCTCTATGTTCATATATAATGCAAGACTTTTAGCAATATCTATACTAGCTTCGAACCCCTTATTTCTATAGTTTTCAAAATTGACATAACGTTATGATGAGAACAATAAGTCAATAAAAAATAAGTTTATGGGCCCTGTTTCTAATTTAGTTTATTAATATTTATGGGTCATGCTTTTAATTTAATATATTAATATAATTTTTAACGTTATGATGAGAAAAATAAATCAATAAAAAATAAGTTTATAGACCTCTTGCATTAATTTAAAAAATAGTATATTAATATTTATGAGTCATGTTTTTAATTTAATTTATTAAAATATAATAAATTAATATAAATTAAAATTATAAACCCTGGCGGATGCCCCTCATGCCCTGCCCAGCCGGCCCTGGTCGAAAGGAAATAGGGATGTGAAAACAAATTAAAACTTTGAGTTTTAATTTAAATACTAATAAAAGTAGGACCCAGTAACAAATTCTAAAAGTTGATGGGTGTAGATGCGCCCTAATACATTTGGTCGGCCATTAACAAAGCCATAATCACTTTGTACGGCTTCTATTTCTCTGACCGTGAATCAAAACATGTTTCCTACTACGTAGAAATTTAGCTTAGAAGTACGAATTTAAAAAATTATATTAAAATACTTAAGGATAAAATTATAAAATTTTAAGGAATTTAAATTAGATAATTAATAAAAAATTAAAAATTAAAATCTAAAATGTAAGGGAATTTAAAAATTATAGGGTGTAACTGCACCCAACATCCACTCGGTCCATCCTTACTAATTAACTTAATCGATTTATTAAATTTATTATTTTGTAATTTTTTAAATTAAATTACCTTATGAATATATATTACCTTTATGATCACGTAAACTATTTAAAAAAACTTTAAATAAATTACGTTAATAGACTTAATTTCAATAACATATTATGTAGTTAAGTTTGGCATTTAATTATTTGATTTACTTAAATTAGAAGCTGAATTGAGCTGTTATGAATTTAATGTATCAAAAAGTTTATTTTGGCTTTATTATTTAAAGTAATATTTTAGTTTAGGTTTGAAACAGTAAATATTTTAATATTTATATATTTCGAATAAAAAATTATTTGAGTCTAAAATATTAAATTTATTATTGATTGAATTTAAATATTCTTTAAGTCTGTCTGCATATATAAATAGTGTAAATTAATACTTCTAAAAATAATAATTTAGTTTAAACATTTTAAAAGTGAACATATAATAACAGTTTTTTCTAATGTTAATGTTCTTGATCAGTACGTGATACGTGAACAATTGTGATTTCATAAAATTTTAAAATATTTATATAATATTCAAAATAATTATTAAATGATATAATAATTTAGTAAAATATCAATAAAATTTTTCCAAGATGTGAAGAACATTATTAAGATACTATAGAAAGAAAAATAATAAATTTTAAAATATTATTTAAAATTTCAAAACTATAAATTTTGAAAAATAAAAAATTATAATAATCTTAAAAAATTATAATTTTCAAGAATAAAAAATTATATAATATTTAAATAAAAAATATTTATTTTATGACTATTATATAGACTAGATTATTTTATTTATAAATAAACAATTCACTAAATTTATAAATTGATAAAGATAGAAGAGATATTTAAATTCAATATTTTAGTTTAACTAACAATTAGACTTATATTATGAACTAAAATATATATCTTTTAAAATATATAAAATTTAAAATATCCTTTTTAATAATATTCTCTTCGCCCCACTAAATGTGTATGTTTTAGTTTTTAAAATTGTCTCTTTCAAAATGTTCTATTAAAAATTCAACAAATAATAACATTTATATTTTCTTTTTATCTTTGTATGTCTCTTTTTTTACTCATATCAAAATAAATAATTTAAATCTATCAATCACCTTTTAAGATAACTTTATCATTTTTATTGATTAAATATATCTTATAAAATTATATTTATAATTAATATCAGACACAAATTATGAGATGAATGAAGTAATAAATTAAAATTTTAATATGATAAATGACTTTTAATAGCTTTTGCTCACTTTTAGAAAATGAGTTAAGATTTTTTTGGGAGGTGGGAATAGATTTAATTGGACCGTGTTGTGATGGATCTTTCCCCTCTTTTGAAGCAACCGGCAGAATATTATGTCACATTACCCGAATACAATTCAAGAACTCATCATAACGTTTGGTGTTCCATAAATCATTTCTGTCACATTGCATTTTATTTTTCATATTTTTTTTCAATTTAACAAATATTTAATTTATAATTTATCGAGTGATTTCAAGAAAAATATTATTTTCTCTTAAGTCTTAAATTTGAGCGGTTATGTCTACAGGTATATACATCATCAACGATTAATTTTTTAAACAAATACTACCTTATACTTATATTATACTATTAAAAAAATAAATACTTAATTCATTAAATCTTAGATTATTAATTAATTACTTTCTTAACTTTAACCTTTAACATCATGTCCTTGTTCGATCATCAAATTGCTTTATTGCACATACAGATTAAAGAAATTTTCTTTTCTTGGGGCCTTTGTTATTTTTTCATTAAGCTTTATGTACATTAATTAATATGATAGCGCAATAAAAAATTATATATATTAATTATTGTTTCTATTTTAATATTTATAATTAAACTTAAAAATTAAATTGAGCTTATGAGTGTGTTTGACTTTGAATACCAAAAAGTTATTATAAAAATATACTGGTAAGGATAGTGATTACACCATTTTCTAATTATAAAGAATTATTAGTGGGTACACATATTTTAATTATAGAAAATTAGAATTCCCACATGTTTAATAGCTAAAATGTAATTTTTTGTATTGTACATAATTTGATAGGACCAGTTTACTTTAAAAATAACATTGTAGACAGTGGTTTTCGTCCCTATTATTATTATTATTATTAAATAATTAAAATTTACATTATAGGCCAAATTACAATATCACTAAGCCAACCTGGTGGATCCAAATCAAGCCAACTCAAACCAAGAGCCCAATTACAGCCAACCAGAACCCAGACCCAGTTACAAAGATCCGACCCAAAGCCAAAGATCCGACCCAATCAGCCAAGCCCATTCTGGAGCCCAAACCCGACTAGGGTTTTTTATTTTGTCCCAGCGCTGCCAACACTCAGCCGTTGGATATGTGAGAGATCAAACAGTCCAGATATCCCAATAATTAGGGTTTTACCCTAATGCTCTTGCCAGCCGCCGCCTCCAGTGAAGACCAAAAGATCACCGACTAGCTCATGAGCTTCACCACTCGTTTCCCACAGCCTGAGTCACCGATCAAGCCGAAGTTGACGCCGCCGCTGTCATTGTCATATATCATCGGCCTGATTCAAAATATCTGGGTGAATTTAATGCACCCAGCTGCCCCTAGTCGTCTAGTCGCCCCTAGAAATTGGCGTCGGCCCTAGTCGTCCACTGCCATAGCCGATGACTCATAAGGCTTATCCTC